CCGGCGTCGCGCGTGACCCGTCTCTTGCTCCCGAGTCCAGGCCCGTTTGCGAATCTTCCCAACACATGCGCTCTTTTTTTCTCGCGCGAGCTCCCCTCGCGCGTACCCATCCCCTCACTCGAGGTCCGCGTCGTCTAGCCCGGATCTCATCCAGCCCGGATCTCATCGACCGTGCGCGTCTACGCCAATGCGCGTGTTCGCGCCCTTGCCGTCGGATCATCTCGCGCTCCCGTTCGGGCTGATGGATGCGCATCTTCATGTGTACCTTCGTGCGCCTCGCTACGCGGCTCACGCGTATCGCGTGTCTACACGTAGCACGTTTTCCTCGTGCGCGGCCATCACGAACCTCCTTTGCACATCCCCGATGGTTCGACTCGTGTCGTTCCTTTTGTGCTCGTGCGCCTCGTATACGGGCTCGTACCCATCTCTTAGGCCATGCATACGTGATTTTGGCTCTTTCCTCGGCCTTCTCGGGTCGTCTCGGCCATCGGCTCTCGGCGTCCTCGGGCCTCGAAACCCACATTCGCATCATCCCCGCCCCCTTAAAGTTTGTCCTTGTCCTCAAGGACTCATCAAGTATCTCCATTGGGGGCTCGTCGTCCTCTTCGATCACATCCACCTCTTCTTCCGTTTTCTCGACTCCATCGATCCCGGCTATCTTGGCCACGTTCGAAACTTCCTCGAGCCTTGGAGCTTCGACCACCTCGGCTTCTTTAACCTCGACCTTGACGAAGTATTCATCGGGGTAAACATCGTAGATAGGCGGTCCATCAAAACGCGTCGCGACTTGTTCGTCTGTAACTTCTAGGTGGTCCGAAAAATCGAACGGATAGTCGAGCTCCTCGCACCGTTCCTCAATCACTTGATCCTCTTTGACTACTTTCCCAAGCATCGATGTCTCGAGCGTGTTGGATTTTACCGGATCGTGCTCGTACGATTCACGGGACTCCTCTTCAGCCTCTTTCCACAACTCCTCGACCATTATGTGCTTGTCATCATCCAGGTACACGTCGAAAACAGGCGGGCCTAAGTAGTCGATTGTAACTCCTTCGTCCATGAACACGTCGTCGAATGAAGGTGGGTCCTTGGACTCGATTCGCTCAACTATGAACTCGGTGACCTCGTCAAAAAGCCCCAAAAATTCAAACGGGAATGCGAACTCCTCATCATGGCCCGCTTCGACCACGACCATCTTCTCCTCATGGTCCTCATCGACCACATCTTCTACTTCGACCTTGCACTTGGCCTCCAGCTCGAGTTGTTTGACCACAATTTCGGTTTTGCCTTTATCATGCTCGACCTCGCACTCGTCATCTTTGTCCGAATGGATGTGTTCGTCTTTGGCCGCCTCTTCGTCGTCAAAGTATCCCGGAAATTCAAACGAGAAAGTAGGCTCTTCGTTGAAATATCCCAGAAACTCCATCGGAAAAACGGGCTCCCCTTGCTCGATCTCAGCTTGCTCGAGCTCTCGCCTGGCCCGATCGTACCCGTAAGGTGGTGGTCGAGCTTCATGCGGGTGTGGTCGATCATCGTGCGGTGATGGTCGAGCATTGTTCGGGGTTGGTCGATGCGCAACCCTTAAGCACTCGTCGAGCCGACGGCCCTTGAATTCCTTCTCTTGTTCGTACTCGACATGGCACTGCTCGTGCTCCTCAGGTTGTCCGCACCCGTGCAGCTGCGCCTGCTGGTGTTGAAAGTTGTGCGCCATCTCGTCGAACCTCCGGTTCATGATCTCTATTAAATCCCGCACCGATGCGTTGATGGTGTCGAACCCTTCGCCTAGGTTGTCCATGGCCTCGCCCATGCTTCGGAATTGCACGTCCAAGTTCTCGAGTTTCTCCTTCATCTCCTTATTGGCCATGTCTTTCCTTTCTTGCCTTCGCTCTTTACTCCGTGGACTCATTTTGAAGAGATTTTTTTTTTGATCGCGGGTTTCACCAGCAGAGGACACGCTATTGTGCGGGGTAAAATTACAGTCCTGCCCTTTTTAGTAATGGGCGTGAGCGTGGCTGCGCGTTGATTGGGACCGTATGATGGCATTGATCCTGTGGTCAATATTTATTCCTATTTCTTTCGTTGACACTTATTCTCACCGGAGCGCGCCCCTATATATATATATAACTTTTTTTTTTGATATAAACGTAAATAAAATAAATAAAAAAGAATGGAGAAAGAAAAAAAACCCACGATCTAACACCTCTCAATGAAAGCACCAATGATGAAGATCGTGTGTTCCGATTGTCGACAAGCCGCTCCCGCGCCTTAAATTGCACGATAGGTGTCTCGCGAGCCACGTGAGCGCCTCTTGAAACGAATAAAATTGCAAAAGAAATCTAGAAGAAATTTAAGGCAAAGTGTTTGAACAAAAGTTCGAGTTTTGTATTAATCTTCAATGATGATTAATTTGAATGAGTACATAGGATATTTACGTAATTACGTAATTATTCTAACATTAATCTTCTAGAATCTTCATTCCTCGACTCGCACGGCTCGCCTCGTGTGATCGCGCATCGCGTCCGCGTACGCCCCCAAGTGCCTCATCGCGCGGCCCGTTGCCTTCTCCCAAGCTCGTTAGGCCGATACTCGCCAAGTCCACGCTAGTGTCCCTAGACTCATTGTCCGGCTGGCCACTCGTGCCCCGCGTGGCTTTCTCGCACGACCTGATGCGGACGTCTCTCTTCCTCGAGCCTACTGTCCTGTGCATACTAGCGTGGTACCCGAACATCTCGACCAGCTTGGCCCTCATCATCGTTCCGTCGCCCGGCCTTGCGCGTGACCCGTCTCTTGCTCCCGAGTCCAGGCCCGTTCGCGAATCTTCCCAACACATGCGCTCCTTTTTTCTCGCGCGAGCTCCCCTCGCGCGTACCCATCCCCTCACTCGAGGTCCGCGTCGTCTAGCCCGGATCTCATCCAGTCCTCGCCATTGCCCTACGGGGTTCTCGTGTCTCGACCGTGCGCGTCTACGCCAATGCGCGTGTTCGCGTCCTTGCCGTCGGATCATCTCGCGCTCCCGTTCGGGCTGATGGATGCGCATCTTCATGTGTACCTTCGTGCGTCTCGCTACGCGGCTCACGCGTATCGCGTGTCTACACGTTGCACGTTTTCCTCGCGCGCGGCCATCACGAACTTCCTTTGCACATCCCTGATGGTTCGACTCGTGTCGTTCCTTTTGTGCTCGTGCGCCTCGTATACGGGCTCGTACCCGTCTCTTAGGCCATGCATACGTGATTTTGGCCCTTTCCTCGGCCTTCTCGGGTCGTCTCGGCCATCGGCTCTCGGCGTCCTCGGGCCTCGAAACCCACATTCGCATCACGCGCCTGTCCGTGCCAGCCCGCGAGGTCTCAGCGCCAGTCGCGCCAAAGCACCTCCGACAGCGCCCGGCAGCGCTGTCCCAGTGTCATGCACGCGTGACCCCGAGCCAGTCGCTCGTGCCATGCGCAGTTGACCTCGGGTCGTGCCAACAGCGCGCCCGAGTGTTCAGTACCGTGCCTTAGAGAACCCGAGTAAGGTTCAGAGGCCTCGGGACGTGCCCAGCAGCACGCCCGCGTGCCCAGGGTCGCCCGGCAGCACCCTGACAGCCTTAGCCGCGCCCGAGCCGCGCGAGTAGTGTCTGGCCGCGTCA